CTGGTCCTGAGCCATTGGCATCAACCTCGTAATCTTACAAGACATGCAGGTGTGCATGTTTTGCCAGATTACGAGTACTTTTTGTCTAATGACGAGACTGCCCTTTGAGGAGCTTTTTCCCCCATCAATGCCGCCCGGCAGTGTCACTTCAGCTTATATGATCCGTTTGACTGTGTCTGTTACTCTAATTCTACTGCGAACATTCCCTTTACGAAATCTATTACTTGCCTCTATGTACTGCCGGAAGTGTAGATACAGCCAACATAGAAATATTATTGATATCTACAAGTATACAAAAAATTAATAAGTTCAGTATTAATTATTTAGAAAATATTTAAATGCTACATTCACCAGCTTTTTGTATTGCTTGTAACTAATACAAAAGATTGGCTCTTTCAACACAATATGAATTTGAATAATTATTTGTAAGACGTAATCCAAAAGTTTAAATTTCGATCAATCACACTGACATATTTATCTTTATATAACTTGTAACAATTAATTCTCTAATCAATAACGTATATCTATGTTACACTAAATAATGTGCTTGCATACGATGCATAAAATGCATGTACAATTACACCGATAAGACTGTAATTGTTTCGATTAATTACGAATCAATCATTATAGTTTCTACTTTTTTGATTAAAATGCCAGTAAATAAAAAAAATACGTTAGAGTCATACTGCACGAATGGGTTGACTCGACCGTGAAATGATCACGCTCTTATAGAATACCAGCGCAAAATAGCAGATTAATACTTTGTTCCATATGGTGAGTGTAGAGACCTTTCGAAAACGAGGCATTCCGTCTTAATCCTCAGGGGACACAATGCTTCTGCATTTTATTGGTTTAGGCACCAACAAGATATAAGCTTTACAAATTGTAATAAAACTCCTAATCTTAGAATGAAACATGCAAACAAGTTTTATCTAAGTTACAGGTAATCTAAGTTACAGGTAATCTAAGTTACAGGTAATCTCGGCTAGCTAAAAATAACAAGAAGTAGACGACTAAAACACAAAAAAACTTAACAAGAATAATTGTGAGTTAATTAAATATGAATATAATATTTTTAATTTTATAATTATTTCTGTTTTTTCTAAAGGTTTTTTTTTCATTCATTTATTCAGACTTAACTTACTTTGTACTGAATCAGTGTCCTATGTGTTTATCGACGTAGACAGTGTCAGTCAATGTTCTTGGTGCTGATACAAGTCTAAAGCTCAACGCAGAAACCACTGTATTATTTAATTAGTAATGACTTGTTGGTTAAATAAATATAATTCTTTTCTATTCTATTTTGGAGGACAATAAGACTAGACTGATGTTCGCTCTAAATTTTTAGGGACTAAGTGCTAAATCAATTTATTTTTATTCGTGGATAGATGTCACCCTATCGCATATTATTTGTAAATTAAAATTATAGCTTTCGATAAATAGCGGTATAACTTTCTCGTTTACAACCATTAAAATTATTTGCACTTCGTATTAGAACAGACACCGAGAGTAAAATACTGTCCAGCAGTGTAGAACGCGTGATCGGCTCGTGGGGCCCCGTCGAGTGTGCCGGCTAGCTGCTGGCAATATTCCGTTCATCTATTCATGTGGCAATAGCGACCAGTAAGGATGGGCATGTGAAAAACTAAACCGATATATATCGTATCGATATTTTAAAAACAGTATCGATATATCGTAATGTTTTTTATAATGCAGTACGATAAGGCTCATAATGGTATTACAGATGATGACGTTTTTGTAGCTTCTTTTGTAGCTTAATGTTTTGTCGATAAATACAACATTTTAAAATATATCGAAATGAATATGAATTCGATACTCCACGCTAAATATTGAATATCGATATATATATATATATATATATATATATATATATATATATATATATATATATATATATCTTTAAGTAAAATATATACATCAAAAAGAACGTAATGGGTACTTAATAGTCTATAAATAAAAGTTATATAATTTTAGTTTTACGAGGTAGAGCCACGCTGCAGCTAAATTATGGTTGTGGCATGAATGAGTCGGCTCTACCGCGTGAAGAACCAAGCTCAACAGAATACCAGCATAATATATATATATATATATATATATATATTTAAGATAATATCGATATTTCAATTTATCGATATTATTACCCAATCCAAGCGCCCTTTCATAATTGTAGGATTATTTCATAACCCACTAATAGTTGAATACTAGGCTGCACTAAAAGTATCGGGAATGGAATATTTCCACTATTCCTGTCATATTAAAATATTTTTAATTGAAAACTCCTTGGTTTTAAAAATCGAATACCATTTATTTATTTAAAAAAAAGATTATCGGTCTTGTCACAAGGTTTTGTCAAACTTGTTTAGTCGTTGAGAAAATGGAATTGACTCGAGAAAATTCAAGAGCGATGATTTATTATGACTTTCGAAGTGGTTTAACACAAAAACAGTGTGTTGACCGGATGATTTCTGCATTTGGTGATGAAGCCCCACCCAAAACCACAATTTATCGCTGGTTTGCTGAATTTCAACGCGGACGTGTCAAACTTAGTGATGATCCCCGTCAAAGTCATCCAAAAACTGCAGTCACCCAAGAAAACGTTGATGCTTTGCGTAAGCTGATTGAGGAAGATCGACATGTGACATACCACAAAATTCAAGCAACTTTAGACATTGGCATGAGTCAAATATAAATAATCTTGCATGAACAATTAGGTGTAAAAAAGTTGTTTTTCCGATGGATATCGCATTCTCTCTGTGAAGAGCAAAAAGCGGCTCGCGTTACTTGGTACGTCAGAACTCTCGAAAGATTCCACGCAGGATCCTCAAATGATGTATACGACATCGTATCAGGTGACGAATCCTGGATATATGCGTACGAACCCGAAACAAAAAACCAGTCACGAGTTTGGGTGTTCGAAAATGAGTTAAAGCCAACAAAAATTGTTCGTTCACGGAGTGTTGCAACAAAAAATAGTGGCCACGTTTGTCTCCAAAACCGGCCATGCTACCACTATTCCTCTTGAGGGACAAAGAACGGTTAATGCAGAATGGTATGCTAGCATTTGTTTGCCACAGGTCGTTTTTGAACTCCGTAAAAAGAACTGCAATCGCCGCATCATCCTCCATCACGACAATGCAAGTTTTCGTCACACCGCACACAGAACAAAGGAGTTTTTAGAGCAAGAAAACATAGAATTATTAGACCATCCGCCGTACAGCCCCGACCTAAGCCCTAATGATTTCTATACTTCCTTAAAGAATAAATTGCGTGGACAGAGATTTTCATCACCTGAAGAAGCTGTGGACGCCTACAAAGCGGCCATTTTGGAGACCCCAACTTCCGAATAGAATGGTTGCTTCTATGATTGGTTCCATCGTATGGAAAAATGTGTCAAATTTCTCGGAGAATACTTCGAAAAGCAATACATATATTTTTAATAGTAATGTTATATCACTTCCTTGATTCGCGAGATTTTCAGTGCCGCCTTCGTACATCTACGTAGTAAACAAATATATTGTAAGTAATTGATATAACCAGCGTTTATTTATAAAATAATTTCAGATAATAATTGGGTTCACCTAAAAAGGGTCTTTTCGTGTGGCGATACCTATATTATATTATAGACAGGTACAACATGGTACGACTCGTAACTATGCCTATGGATGCTTACTTACGAGTCGACTTATACTTACGTTTCAACATGAAAATAAACTACATACCTACCGAGGTATGTACCTAGTTTATTTTTACGTTGAAAAGTACTTCATCATTATTTTATTAGGACACTTTCGTCCAATGCGCTTCTTGTAAACTAATAAGTACCAACAAATAATTAAAAATTTTTAAAGAAAAAGAAATATATAAATATAAAAAATAGTTTTTAAGGAAAAAGAACCCCTTTATCGTAAATTCTTAGTTTCAAGGCACTCCCCTTGTTGCCGCAGCCAGTATCGGAATCCTCGACGTCGATATATCGAGTGACGTGCAGTTTCGTAGTCACTTGGAAGAGAAGGCCAAATTGGCCTCTAAAAAGCCTGGAGTGCTCAGCAGAGCGGAACAGTATTTCATACCGGCGCACCACCTGCAACTTTACAAGGCACAAGTTCGGCCGCACATGGAATACTGTTCCCATCTCTGGGCTTGGGCTCCCCAGTGCCAGCTCCTTCCACTTGACCGCATCCAGCGCAGAGCGGCTCGAATAGCGACGACAAAGTGCTTTCCGATCGGCTCGATTCACTGGCGCTGCGAAAAGATGTTGCATCTCTTTGCGTATTTTATCGCATCTATCACGGGGAGTGCTCTGAGGAATTGTTCGGATTAATCCCAGCCGCCAAATTTCATGAACATCCACACTATCTGGATGATTGGCGGTCCACCACTGTACGTTTCACAAGGAGTTTTCTTCCGCGTACGACCTCTCTGTGGAATAGTTTACCATCGGCGGTTTTTCCGGTCTGATACGACCTGGGACCTTCAAGAAAAGAGCTTACTCCTTTCTAAATGGCCAGTACGCACCTGCGATTCCCCTGGTGTTACGTATGTACATGGACGACGGTAGTCACTTAACATCAGGTGAACCGTATGCTCGTTTGCCCACTGTTCTATAAAAAAAACATAAGCTTACGAACAAAACTAAACATGGGTTTAGTCGGCTAATCTTGAGTTTATTTTTCATTCTAAGATAAGCCATAACATATATTACAACGTTTTTGACATACTTTTTTAATTATTAGTTATAATATCTTCGTGAACAATGATAGCAAAATCTAAAAATTTTATTAAAGTTTTAGATCATTATAAAACAGTTTAAGGTTCGTTATTTTTATCTATCAGCAATGCAAACTAAAAGAAGACTCACGTAACTTGACATAATCGTAACAATTATCGATCTAATTAATTAGTTTAAGACAAGTGAATTAAATTCAACGATATTGAAACCTATAAATACAGGAAACAATGAAATATCGTCATTAAGTAAGATGTTTACGAAAAGTATATTTGTCGTTACTTTCATATTAAATAAAGTTACTTTAGACAATGCAAGTGAAGAAAGTAAAAGGTATATAGACAGAGAATATGAATTATCCGAAGGTTACCCATTAGATTCACTGCCTAACTTTACAGAGCTAGCCGCAAAATATGGATATCCATCTGAAGAGCACACCGTTGTAACTGAAGATGGATACATTCTAACAATTTTTAGAATTGTCAGAGGCAAGAAATGTCAAGGGCCCATTAGATCGCCCCCAGTTTTACTAATGCATGGCTTGCTGATGAGTTCTGATGCTTGGTTGGATTCGGGCCCTGAGTCTGGGCTTGCGTATCTAATATCAAATGCCTGCTATGACTTATGGGCAGGAAATGTCCGAGGTAACTATTATGGGAAGAGACATCGGACTCTTAATCCTGAAACAGACATCGATTTCTGGCAATTTACCGTCAATGAAATAGGTAGTTTTGATATGCCGGCAGTGATTGATTACATTTTAAACTATACGTCATCAGCAAAAATAAACTATATTGGATATTCACAAGGAGCTAGCACTTATTTTATAATGTGTTCAGAGCGAAAGGGATACTGCGATAAAGTTCAAGTACTGATTGGCTTGGGGCCTGATTCAAGAAACACATACCTAAAATCTGTATTTTCCAGATTAGTAGTTGAAGCATATCAAGATTTATATCCTGCCTTAACCGAAGTTGGTTTTTATGAAGCATTACCTCGGGGCGGTATCGTTCAGCAGACCGTTGCCTTCATTTGCCAGAACTTTGTTATCGCCGACACGTTCTGCAGAACTCTATTGAGTATGATTGACTCACCCCATCCCGGTTCAATTGAGACTCAAACTTTACGCGTCCTTTTTGATCATTTTCCTGCAGGTACATCGGTAAAGAATTTGGTATGGTACAGTCAGTCATTAAACGTTGATGATTTCCAGCATTTTGACTACGGAACCCGGGCAAACATGGAATTGTATGGTTCTCTCAAGCCACCTTCGTTCAATCTTAGCGCAACAACAACTCCAACGGTTGTGATAAGTGGAAAGAACGACTTTTTAACTGTACCAGCTGACGAGGAATGGTTAACGAGTCACTTGCCCAATGTGTTGGAACATTACATTGTACAAGACTCTCTTTGGAACCATATTGATATAGCATATAGTAAATTAACAAGTAAAGATATATTACCGAAAATACTTGAATATTTATTAAAATATAGCGATGAAACAGATGTGTGATTTTAAACGATTTTTTGTTTAATATAATGTAAGAAGGTATTCAAAATAAAGGGATCTTGAGCAATAACGTGGTTTATAAGTATATTTTATAAGTGTTACACCTTATTTAACGCCTTGAATTGAAATTCAAAGATTGAATTTCCCATGATCCTTTCTTAGTGGGTGTTTACGTGTAAAGTGAGTATATGTTCCAAATTTTAAGTCAATCAAGAGTATAGTTCGGGAGATTTCGTGATGAATGAGTGAGTCAGTGGTGTTTTGCGTATTTATATTTTAAACACAATTTTGAAAAACAAATTTCATAAATTAATATCAAAATATTTTTTATAGCGTTGGGTGACAAACGAGCATACAGTCCACCTGACAGTAAGTGGATGCTGTGGCCCACAGACTCACATTTATCCTTAACTAAGGATCAAAATACAAATGCGTTGTTACCCCTAAGGACTAAGATGAAATACTTCGATTCCAGTAAAAAGGATCTCCGGTTCTCTACACTCACCGTATGAAACGCAGCAGCATTGAGCAGTTATTTTACGCTGGTATTCTGTGAGAGCGTGGTCCTACCCCGGTCGAGTCGACCCATTCGTGCTACAACAACTATAATATATCTGCATCGTGGCTCTACTACTACTACTAATATAACCTATAATACTAATATAAACTAAAATCAGCATTTTCTTCTTCTCCCTCGTCTTATCTTCTCTCTTACTTAACTGCTGCCAAATTGTATTGCTTAATATAAAAAAGTTGTGGTACATCCAAGGCTCAGTACCCACAGTAAATTTCATAGTACGTGAAAAACCTGAGCTCCTTTCCCGCCTGTGTTTAGCTCTTGCTCTGCGATGAAGGAAACATCTTCATATATTGCAGATTAAGAATTACCGGATACTATATCAAATACTTTCACTGCTTTTTTGCGGTCTGAAGTGAATAGAGGGTCAGTATAATGTTGTGAGGTATTTCAAAAGAGGCGGTAACGCATGGGTAGCAGTTTTTGTTTGATGTTGGCTGACTGTGAGTCCTTTAGTCATTTTATTGACGTGACCACTCCCGTTATACAAAGGATTTGTCGTAATCGTACCGCTTAGTAAACGGATAGATTGGAGTATCCGCTGCTCCTAACCTTTTGCCACTGCTACAGTATTCAGGTGTATTTTACGCGTGGTGTAAAAAGATGGTTATACTACCATAATACATATTATATTATTTAAGAATTTTTCAAAATCGACTCTTTTTAGGGTTCCGTTGTTGAACTACAAAGGACCCTTATAGTTTCGCCATGTTCGTCAGTATGCAGTTTTGCTCAGAGATCCCAGGTGCTACAACACCGTAATTTGGCATAGTTATAGACGTTAGTTACGCCTACAAAACTATGAAATAAAATCATATAAAACATTTTTATTTCGGGTTCCTCCCCAAGTAAAGAGAGGATGTTTTTTGTAACCCGTCCATTCTATCGTGTGTGGTATCGTTAGATAGGTCTTTCAAAAATATTGGGTGTATACATTAACAATTTCTCGATGCAGGAATCAGTTTGCAAAACATTTAAGTTTAAAGTCGTATTTTTCAGAGTACCAACTCTACCAAATAATGCGCTGTTTTCGGAAATGTGAAAAGTATACACAATAGTAGTATGTATAATGAAATTAAAGGTAAAACTATCACAACTAAGTAGAATTTACAAGTTAACGAGTAATAGTCGATCAACTCATAAAATACACTTGGATTAGTAAAAATTTCGTTACAACTCCATAGAATATGACTTTAAGCTGAATTATAACTTTCTAATGTTATTGTAAACTGTAAGAAATAAACATTTTATGAAGAAAACGACTGATTAAAACTACTTTTACGGATTTTATCGCGTTTATTTTTACTTTTTATTTTTAATTCCCGACGTTTCGGGCGCTTTCCAGCACCCATGGTCACGGGGGACTGAGATGACTGACGTCCCGATGTCATTGTTAAACCCGGAGTACCTTCAGCTTTTTTAATTATTGTTTATGGTACGATCTGTGCAAAATGAACTGACTATGTCTTGAGGTCTTGCGGTGGTATGCTTGGGTTTAGTTTTAATTTTATTGATTATAGGATCCCAAGCAGGTGGTAGTACCCAGCCTCCTTCTCTATTGAAATTAGGATGTTTTTTTAATTTCAATAGCCTCACTTATCATCCTTGGTAGGAATCGGTGTTCTTTCGCGAGGATTTGTGGTCTATCAAATCTGATGTAATGGTTGGGGCCGTCTAGGATATGATCACAAACTGCAGACTTCCCGGAACGTTGATGCTTCACATCAGCTATATGTTCTTTTACGCGGGTCCTAATTGATCTGATAATTGGACAAACCAAAAGAAGAGCTCGAACCGAGGTGGTACCACGACCTCATAGAATACCACCGTGAAGACGAAGCTTTGCTTCCGCGTTTTGTCTGGTGACTGTAGGTGGCCGGAGGCCCAAAGCCCCCCACCCCCTTAACATGGTAGCGGAATTAAATGAAGATCTACCCCAGGAGGTTACCAGCACTCCTGGAGAATTCCTCGCTGAGCATCCACGACCAAGTTACTCCACTCCTGAGCGTGGGTGCTCAGGCTGCCATTCGTATTCTGGTGGGGGAGGGGGGGGGGATCAAAATTCCGCTCAAGACAATAACTGCACAGGCATACTGAGCAAAAAGACCAAGGCGACCCCTGCCACCCTATCCGTGAATTTCTGCAATATCAGAGGACTCCACTCTAACTTAAACGTCGTCCACTACCATCTCGAGACGGCGAGGTCGGCTCCGCTCTTTCTGACTGAGATACAGGTGTCGTCTCCGGCTGATGCCGATGCAGCGATGCAGCGAATCTGTAGCCATATCGACCACGTCGATATGGCTACAGATTCGTTGCTACAGCAGATCCCCTCCGCAGAGATCGTGGTCCTCGGCGATTTCAACGACCACCACGCCAAATGGCTTAGTTCACGTTCAACTGATCATGCGGGGAGATCTGTTCATGATTTTGCCTTGGCATATGATCTGACACAACTGGTCACGGTCTGGTCTGTCTGTAACTTTAAAAGGCGCAGGTTCGGCCTCACACATGGAATAATGTTTCCATCTCTGAGCTTCCCAGTGCCAGCTTCTTCCACTTGATTCCATCCAATGCAGAGTGGCTCGTCTCATTGACGACCGAGTGCTTTCTGATCGGCTCGATTCACTGGCACTGCGAAGAGATGTTGCATCCCTCTGCATTTTCTTTCATATCTACCAAGGGGATTGCTCTGAGGAATTGTTCGGATTAATCCCAGCCGCCAAATTCCATGAACGCACTACGCGGCATACCTCCCGAAACCATTCACACCATCTGGATGCTTGTTGGTCCACCACTGTACGTTTCACTAGGAGTTTTCTTCCGCGTACGACCTCTCTGTGGAATAGTTTACCACCGGCGATTTTTCCGGATCGATACGACCTAGGAACCTTCAAAAAAGAGCTTACTCTTTCTAAAATGCTGACAACGCATCTGTAATTCCCCTGGTGTTGCAGTTGTTCATGGGCGGCGGTAGTCACTTAACATCAGGTGAACCGCAAGCTCGTTTGCACCTCTCCTATAAAAAAAGAACACAACTTTTTCAACCTTTTGAGTCGCTATATCTCAGATATGGTGGTTCAGATATGGGGAGGAAAAGTATAAGAAAAGATAAGTGGACAGTATTTATATATTATAAGGGAGAAACTGAACTACTATGAAGAAAGCTAATTACTGTGACATCTGTCTGACTAATTACTTAATTGATGAAAATTGCTATTTTAAACTAAAAGGGGTTAAGACGAAATTAAAGCACTTTGAAATAAGTACAATATAGTACACAATAACAACAATTAATTTGCGGCAGTTAATACTAAACACTATATGAACCTAATAGGGAGTTTGAGGGCTTCTTTCTTGCTTGTTTTTCTTGCGTGTTCCGTCTTGAGAGCTGTAGCCGCGCGAATGACGAAATCTCTATTATCTAAATGTTAGTGCTGTTAGTCTATGCGACTCTTACAGCTTCATCTTGTAGACGACGAATGAATCTTGATGACGAAATCTCGCCAGAAGCGCTTATTTTATTTCAACGGCCGGTATTAGGTAGGCACAGAGTTGATACAAGCGGTTTTCTTTGCGGGGCGCTGTTCTGATGCGGGGTGCGGGAGACGTGTCGACGTGGTGCGGTGCGGGGCGACATACGACTACCTCTTCGCCATCCGTAACACTATTTTTATGATAAAACTTATCGTTTATTTGAAAAATGCGAAAACCGATTTTTGCTTACTTTGGATCTTAAATAATTTGTTTTCTCAGATGTGCAATGTTCACATTTCATTTACCAACATTCATAACAATTTTCAGCTCGATGCAAATTATCGTAATCTGAAATGTCTATTTTGGCCAGACTATAATATATATTGAACAATAAATTGAAAAAACTGGTCAAGAGCGTGTCGGACCATGCACATTATAGAGGTAGGGAGGGTTCTGTAGTAGCCCGTCACAATATGTAAACTTAGAAAGAGTTTCCTAATGATAAACTTATTAAGTGAGTTCGCTGGTTGACCGTTAAAAGTGGGCCCAAATAGGACGATGGTAACTGAAGGATTTATATCCAATTAGACTTATAGGTAGTGATGTTAAAAAAGAAATAACTTTTTGATTTTGAAAATAATACAATGTAAATCAAATTATCGGCATGCCAAGTCCGTACAAAAGTGATCATAATCGATATCTATCTATATATTCCTGGCAGTGCAACCCTAAGGTATATAATATACCCGTAACGAACCTTCCAGTAAACCACCACTGCCCTAAACTATCCTGAGGTGTCGCACGCGTAAACCAAGAGTTCCACGTACCACAAATGAAACTGTATGAGGCTATATGATTGTATGAATACATTGAAAGAGGCCTACAATAGCTATATACAATGAAGCGACAGTAGCCTAATCTCAGGGCGCGGACCGCGGTTTTGGTTTGT